TACGTGCAAGATAGTTTAAAGCTGAATTTCGGTAAGGGTTTATAAGAGGTGAAATTGGGTGGAATGGAACGCGTTTCGATGGGTGGGAACGACAACGTGCTGCGTGCAGTAGGTGGTCGGGATCTCTGTGAATCCTCTATACACATTTGACACAGAAAGTTGTTTGATACTCTAAAATTTCCACTTTGAAATCCTGTCTAAGTAATCCTAGGAAAATAACTGGTGAACAGTGAATTAATATCGAAATAACTGACTGGGATGCGTGAAACTGCCTGAGATTTCGAAGTTGAAATGATAAGCGCCGCAGTTTGCAAATACGGTCGTGGATGTGGGGTTTTAGAGATAGGCGGATGCAATTACACGACCTGCGACTACGGTCCGATCTCTAATTCTCCCGTGTTTCTCGCTCACCTCGGTATGGATCAGGAGGAACAGCCGGTTAGTCGAGGGAAAGTATATTCCCTGAAAGCACCGGAGTCTTAGCCTGAGAGTGTCTGAAAGCGAAAAGTGCCTAGCGAGAAAAGGTGTAGCACTGAACTCACGCACCGTTAAAAGCGAAAGTTACTTCACCGGAGGTGGCAGTGACTTAAACAAAGATGAAAGACCTAGCTGAAGAAGCGGTCTCAGGATATCGAAGATCCTGGCTGAATCTATGCTACAATGGAAAAGGATGCACGAGCGAATGCTCCAAGCCATCAATGCTTGCGACCATGCGAAAGCATACATGCGGAACAAGCAGACAAAGGTGGTAACAACTCTCGAGCTTGTTACACTGTCGGTCCCAAGCCACTACAGGGTGACCAATGAAGATTGCTATTTACCAGTTGATTCAGTAAGCCGAAAACATTCTTCAGCTGTGGTTCATTTTCACTTTTAACCGAGGAACCTGGGCCAAATGGCATAGCGTGATCACAACTCACAGGTCCTTTCACACACTCCCGAATTGTTTGTGTGCGTATTTGTGGTATGGGAAGCCGGCCATTTTATGCTGACTTCGCTACTCGTGGAAAACAAGTCACAATCGTTAGTGATTGCAAGATAGACTTGACGGACGATGATGAAGCATATTTGGTCTGACTGAACGCGTCAGGTCGCAGCGTTCGGGAAATATGCGAAGAACCGTCTTATTCCTGGCAAAGCGAAAATCAAACCACTTCAACTCTGAACCGGGTCGTGGAATGAATTGTGCCACGAGGAATGTATGTGTATACATATATATACCGAATTGTCTCAAACTGATGATAATACAAGGCTCTTTTTAACAAGGAAATCAATACACTATTAGCATTTCATAGCTGTAGATTATCATGCTTTTTTCAAAAAAGCTGATCAGAACAGTTTTTTGAGTGTAGATTGAAATACGGACATGAAGCCCACGTTTCAGACATGTTGCTAGGATTCGTCTTACTGATGCTGCCACTGACGTGTCTTAAGAGCAGATTCGTTTTCTGCTCTTCCTCTGTTTCTTATTGTACAATCCAAACTTCAAACTCCATCCTCAGTTTTGTCACCTAGGTTCTTCAGTTAAGGACTCGGGTTGAGATTCCTTCCACCTCTTAGAAACAACAAAACACAAGGTGGAATATAATACAGCAGCACGTGCATCTTGGGTAATCTATTTACGTTTGTTCTATTCACTTTGTATCTCATTCTTGGTTTTTCTGCGTGGTCGTTTGATTAAAGCAGTCATAATGAAGGTCCCCAATTGGCCGTTAAGGTTGAATGAAACTGAAATGGTCTTTAATTTTTATTTACAAACCACTGCATCCCAATCTATCATCTCGTTCCCGTCCATTCACATACCTCTCTTTTCAACATCTACTCTCTCCTATTATTTTTATTTATATATTTCACTCACGTCTGAAGCCGGACTGTGTCGAACAAATCATGGTACAATAATCTTTATAAAAAAAGAAAATTGTTCCATGATTTGCATGTGGGCGGAATACTGTCAGGATGGCCACGCCTAGGCATTTGAATTCTTTTGGGGAATCCACAACCGGAGCTAACCAAAGCCTGACCCGCAAGACAGCGGCTCGGTGTGGGAAAACCTCAGTCCATTGAGATCCGGTGTCCGGTTCATTGGATCATACGCCCTTCGGACGGGGTCAAACGTCCAAGGTGCCCAATAGACCTCGATACCGAATTGAGCCGGTGACCACTACCACAACTGGAAGGGTGTGTGTGCGTGTGTTTCGTACGTCTCTTCTTGTTTGGTTAGGAATCAGGGATTTTGGTCAACTCCCCTAGGTGAGCTACCAGTGGTCCACCAATCCGGTTATAGCCCAGGATATCAGCTTTTCGTCCTCTCACTTTGGTTTGGAAACAACTCCGCCATTAGAAGGCAGTGAGTAGGGTTTCCTCAGTTTCTTTTAATTACACACCTACGTGTGATGAACCGCAGATGGGGCGAAACCCGTAGTCACGAGGAGGCTATTAGCGACGCTTGGCCGTATGGAAGCATTTCGCGAGGTGCAGGGAGTGACCAGCCGCAACCCTAGACACTCACCCCCGACCATAATGAGGCTTCCGGAGGCCTTTGCCTATTAACTTTTATGGGAATTCCCCTATACCCTACCTGCCCCGACTTCTAATCAGTCCGCTTTTTAGAATATAGTGCTTTTTCACAGACAAACTTACCGGCTTTTATCTTAGCGGATTGAAACGGTTAATTTGTTCGCACGATTCTCGAAAAGTCAATCTTGATGCGTTCAGTCAAACCAAATCTTTTTCGTCATGGTTCGTTTGGTCCATCTTGCAATGAGTAGTGAGCAGTTTTTAACGAACAGCGAAAGGTCGAAACAGAGCGTTCAGCTTTCCGTAACAGATACACAGACGATTCAAGGAGTGTGTGAATTAACCTATAAGTTGTGATCACTCATTGCCATCTGACACAATTTTATCGAATACAAGGGTAAATGAATCGCAGCTATAAGTTCTCAACAATGTGTTTCCCAATTTCGTGATTCATTGGATATAGCACGAACAGATTATTGTGTATTGTCATTTCAGTGGAAAGTGGAAACTTCTGTTACCATGGCCATAGGAGTGATCATTCTATATTCCTATAAACTGTCATCCTCGCTCGGTGACTCACTCCAAAAGTACTTTTGTTTGTTTTCGGAGAAGTGAGTTCATTCGGACTGTACGAGTTTAGACAGACCCGCTCCAACCGGTGACATTTGACGACTGAAACACCAATAAACTTCTGGGGTTCCCAGTGGAATGCAGTTGGTTGGATTCAATTAAAGTTAAAAAAGATATAGTAATGCGAATAGATGAACCGGTTTTTTTGAATCGAACTCTCCTGGTACGGCCATTTAAGCTGTCGTTTGACGGGATTAATCGATTTTCGTTTCTACATCAGATTATTTAGGTACTTTCGAGTTCATGTTTCCCATACAACTAAAGTCGGGAATCGGAACCAATTCGATTATTCTCTCATTCAAAGCAGTTCCTGGGTAGACCACCAAAGGTACTGCTTTAACAAATACTTGGATGCGTCTTTTTCATTGGAACGTTTGTCGTGTAAGCGAACTTTAGGATATTTCTTGGGCAACGTTAGTCCAGTAGCTCTAGCAAATGTCTTCGGCATGTAGTGGACAAATACCTTAGCTGTTCCACATTCCTACGTAGCATTTCTATTGATTTCTGCTTTAACGGTGTTCTTTTTTATTTTGTATTGGTTTCATGACTCGAGGAAATGTTATTAACAGTTTTGAAACATTGAAGTCCGTAACCAAAAATTATGTTGATTGGGAATTAGGCTTTCTGAATTTGAATAAGCCGAATATGATCATCATCACCCTCCCCCAGCCGTGTATACACAATATCACATTTTCCCTTCTCATTCTCTGATACATATTCACACTACTTAATGCTTTACAGATGGTTGGACTACTCGCCATACGGACATCCAGTAGAGGGCACCCTACTATTACCCATCAAACTCCCTATACCAAATGTGAGTTTACCATTCATCGTTTCTGTTCGCGTTGATCGAACCCCACAATAATTTATTCTCCTCTTTGACAGGAAAAATCGTATAATATCAGTCCAAACATGAGGTACGCTATTCCAATACAATCATGGTGCTTCATCGGGACCACCCGGTGTTCTACTTGCATTTAATGCTCCAACTCGAATTTAATCCTGTCCACCGTGATTCTTACCAATCTGATTCAGATTCACATTGGATAATCTAATTGAAGGGATCCATTCACACGGAAGCCATTTGGCTTGCGTGATCGATCTGACCTACACACGATACTACGATCCAAAGGTATTTGCTAATCATCCTCGGATGCACATACCAAACCTCTTACAACTTTCATAGCTTGTCACCAGTCGGGGAATTCAGTACCATAAAATTTTCGTCGAGGGTCATGAAGTTCCACATATCAAACATGTTCGAAAGTAAGTATCGTTTCTTCTCGAGGTAACCGTTTTCCCTTCCCATCATCTAGTTTCGCAGAGGTTGTAAATGCAGTGCGTGCTCGAGATCCCGGTGAGTAGGATTAACAGTGGACTATGTTCTGTTTACTTATTGGTGCACATTTTGAACTTGATCTTCAAATATATATGCGGAATAAGTGTCTAAAAATGATTTTTCACCGCGACAAAAATATTGCACCCCCATTGAACTTTGTCGACGAATGGAGTGCCTAAGAAGTATGTATCAATCTTCAAAGAGTTGCATCGTCATACCTCAGGCCGGATTAGGGCCTATTGCCGGGTTTTACCACCCGTCGCCGTCTCCATCGCAGTTCGACAAGGTTGCCCTATATCCCCATTCCTTTTCGACTTTGACATAGAAGATATTCTACAGAATGCTTTATCCGATCTAGCAAACAGCAGAGTTGAATCCCTCCCAGGGAACAGAGTACTTGACTAAAAATATGCCGATGACATCGCCTTGCTGTTTAACAGCACACAGGCAGTCCAAGACGCCTTGAACCTCTTGGCAATCGAGATATCCAGCTATGATATGTGCTTTGCGCCGTCAAAATGCAAAGTGCTTGTTCAAGACTGGCAGCAGCTAGTGCCAGCACTCACCCTCTGACGATCAGCTGGAGGTAGTTGAGAGCTTTAAGTACTTCGGGAGCTTAGTCGCAGCTGGTGTTGATGTTTGGTAACGAAGTCACATCACGAATAACGAAAGCTAGAGTAGCTTTCGCCAACCTGTATCACCGGTGGCGCCGCCATGACGTCCGATTGTCCCTTAAGGGAAGGGTATACATTGCCGCGGTTCGTAGTGTTCTGCTTTACGGTTGCGAGACCTTGCCTCCGTGTTGAGGATGCTAATCGACTTCGCATATTCGACCACCAATGTCTTCGAAGCATTGCTCGTGTCTGATGTGTGTTGGGTGTGAATAGTCGCTCTCTAAAAGAAGTAATTGCTCTACATCGCCTCCTTTGGCTTGGTCACGTATTGCGTATGCCTGCGCATCGATTACCTTTCCATGCTCTCTTTGCACGTGCCGGGCAAGGCTGGAAGAAGCGCTGCGGCGGTCAGACCATGACATGGTGTATAGGCATAAAGAAGCTGGCGTCGGCTTTTGCTTCGGTTGGTGCAACCCGCCTTCCAGATTGGGGTCCAGGGGGCGAGGATTGTCGTTTGTTGGAGACGCTGAAAGATATGGCCCAGAATTGAAGTCAGTGGCGTGAATACTATATATTGGACTTCACACAACTCGGTTTTAAAACAGGTGCGGTAGACATCCCGAGTTTGTACTTTGGCATTGCAACTCACCACCATGGGATTCAGTGGTTGATAGACTAAGGTAAGCTACAGTCATGCTCAGGTCACCCCCAATGGCCTTGGATAGAATACAAGAAATGAAAAAGGCGTATATCTCTCACCATTTTGTAGGCGGAAGAGTTTGTGCTGTGAACTGAAACTTATATAACTTGGAAAAACCAATGAAATTTCACCTACTTTGGCACCGGAAAGAAATTAGATTTTAATGGACCCGACACATGGAACTGCCAATAGCGTGATCTGTGAAAGGAGCGTTACTTCAGGAAGTGGATTAACGATTGAAACTCCCTGCCTTATCGAGCAATACCCCAACCATACTCGCGGTTCTACTCTTGGGGTGCAAGATATTAGAGTGGCACCGAGTAATAACCCTAAAGGTATTTTACCACAAGCTGTTGCCGTAGTTCATTGCTGATATCTAAGAAAATACCGGTTATTATTTCGCTGCTTCGGAACAATAGTTTGGTCTACGTGGAGCCTACATTTGAACCCAATGGAAAATATGAACGCTATTCCCACCCGAGAGAAGTACCGACATTTCAGAGTTTACACTGAGAAACATGAAATAGAAACACTGTTGACTAGGCAGTGCAATGAAATCGACACGAATATAAATCGAAACGAAGTAAAAAGTGGCTTCCATGGATAACGTTCAAGGGAAGCGCAACACTTTTTCGCGGTGAAAACTCGTTTATTCGGCATACTTTCGTTAAAACTAGATAACATGACGAAATTTTCATATTACGCTTTTTATTGGTTCGCTGGATGANCTTCTGGCTTAAATCAAACTACTGATTGATGATATCAAACCAGCCTGCCTCTATATTCTTATATTTCTCATGGCGATAGAACGTTGAGTGCACAGGATTTCACCTCTGCATAAGCTTACATTGATTTCATATCTCATTACGAGACGTGCTTGGATAAGCTCGCTACTGGCCGGGATTGATCGGTGTTTCTCGGTGAGTATCCGGGTCTCAACTCACTAGACCAACTGAATGCAGGGCATTTTTGTTGCACGATCATTGCTGAAGGATGTTGAAGGTTGGCTCGATGCTGGTTTTCCGTCAGCCTCTTGAAAGACGGTTGGGCATGCCAAACGATGCCCTCCATTACAGTCTAACCATTTGTGTTGCGCATTCGGATCACGCGAACAGATTAGTGACCTAATGGTCGGAATCGAAGGGTAGCTCGTTTACCATGGATATTTTTGTATGCTTTGATGCTTATCAAAGTGTGGTCGATCTGCCTTTGTCTTTGAGCGTACAGCTCCGCTCTTCAGAGACAAGAAGTGGCCCCACTTTCCAAGAGCAGGAAAAAGTGAATCTCAATGGTCGACACTAAGCACACAATCTAACTGCGCTTAAACTCCTCTTCTAGCCTTCTGCCGTGGGGGGCAATGACCGCAAGAACGCCACTTCTGTTTTTTTTTCGGTGCCATGCCCTTCAGTGTCTCCAGCCAATCAGTCGGAGTCATTTGAACCCTATACAGGAAGACAGGTGACAGGAACTCGCTCGAATGATTCCGTAAATTTTGAGAAAACTCGTCAGTTGGTTTCCACTTGATTTCCTCCTGTTCTCGTCCCACAGCGTGACCCAATTTGAAGTCCGCTTGAACTGAAAGGGATGCTTGATTGTGAAACTGTTTAGATATCTTGTTCAGTTGGAAGCTAACAATGCAGTCACATTGTGAGCTGGTCATTGTTTGGGGATTCCGGAGACCTAAAAACGGAATGTGAAAATTAATTACAGAAATAAGTCCTCGAAGAATTTGAGTTTACCCAGTTGTTTTCGATCGTTTACGCAGAAAAGGCAATAGGTGTCCACCTGACCAACCATAAGCATTGCAAAGGGTTGCGAAACAATAATCATATTTGGACAACTTCAGCTTTTATTTATAATGTTGTGTTACTAACAAGACAAAGTTTACGTCGCGCTCCTACACCGTTCCATCCAGTTCACGGATTTTCTTCACCACATGTTCGTTGTTCAGTTGGAATGCGAAAAAATCCTTGTAATATCCTTAAGAAAACTTCAATATAACCCAGATCTATGACCTGTTCCTAATGTCGCTGACAGTTGCGCTAGTCGTTTGTACGTGGTTTGTTCCTTGGACAGGATAGAAATGTCCGTTGAAAATTGAAACCAGCATTACCATTGCTNTTTCCGAGAAATCGGGACAAACGAAAGAGTGAACAGATAAGTACGGTTGTGATTGTTGAATATCAATCCATCACGACGAGGTGTTTACCTAACTTTCGTCTCTGAGAGTAAATCAACTGGAATTCATGTTTTTTCCCTTATATTCTCTTCAAAGCCCGTCAGGCGTTTCATTCTCTCTACTATTATTATCCTATTTGTTCACTGACAAAATATATTCATCAGAACAATGCAATTTTACACTTGTTCATCATCCAGCAACTGTTCTCCCCTTTCCTAGGCGGTGTCATCGCCGTGCATTGCACGCACGGTGTCAATCGGACTGGGTATCTTATATGCAGGTTGGTACTATTAGTCCCTTTTATATCGTTCAGAACCAAAAGTTCGTTTTGAAGGTGAACCGCTGCTGGTTGTGTCTTATTTTAGCCATTGAATTGTTCTTGACTTGAATCCGGTAAATCTGATCAACATTTGTCGATCGTTACCGTTACAAAAATTGCTAGTGATACTAACCTCCTTCAGATAGTGTTCGTGGGTTACATGTGCACCTTTGCAAGTGGCATTTTCAATCTGCTCTTGGCATTATAACTGCTTTGACGTTTAGGTGGTATGCTGGCACCTCAGGATAAGTCACCTACGTGAGTGAATCCATATATGATTATGGATGATCCTTATAACATGACACTCAGCATTTTTTCTTCAAGAATGCAATTCGATCCTTTTGTTTCACCTTCTGACAGATGGGATGACGACAGTGGTCTGGTTTTTTGTGACTGTTCCGATTTGGAACGGTGCTTTCGGCGAAAATCAGTGTCTGCTTTTTGCATAGTGGTCACTTACCACCATACCACTCACTCTATATCGCCAACGGACGTTCGAGACCGTTTCTTCAACGAAGTATACCAATCTATTCACATCTATTTACCCAAATGGCGAT